CCAATGATCCTCTTAGGATTAAGCTCTGCTTTGGTGTTTCATCGTCTTCCTGAATGTCACGTATTCACCCTTCATATGTCCCCGATGTGTTAAACCGATATGTAACAAAACCTACACAGGCTCCAGGTCGCGCTTCGGCCAACAAGAACAATGGGCACATTTGTGGATAATCCGATCCAAAATGTTTGCAGGTTTTGATCTGATTTCCAACAAAATGTGCCCCCATAACGATTCGTTCGGTTCTTGTATATGCGAGAAGGCGTAACTTGAGCCGTAGTCTTCAATATAACATGACAACTCAACAATGGGTGCAGAATAATGGTGTATCATCAGGCGCGAGAAATGGACATAGATATCAGGCTATGGCACAACTATATGAAAGGCTTGATCAAATGTGCCTGACCTAAGTATGCGAGTGATACTACCATCAGTACAATCGCTGTGGTTAGTCACTTGTCCAGATATGAAAAGTGATGATATGGACCAAATAAGAGTCCACACAAACAGGTCACTAGTAGTCGAGATCTGCACTATTATATTGGCTAATGAGGATCAACAGCGATACCTTCTGGCAGTAAATTCTGCTTGTATGATCAGCAGGAATTCCTTTTTATATTGCAGGTCATAACAACTTCTATCTAAAGTGCTAAAGACGGTGAGCGAAGATCATCATCTCATGGCTATCTCTATCAACCTCCATACAGATTCCCGATCTGCATCTAGGACACTAGTAACATGATGCATGTTTGAATTAATTCTCGCTACTTACATGTTCTCTGAATCACTAAGATATATATTTCGCTTCCAACCCCGCAAAAGAGGCTATCTTCTGTGTACGCTCGACATCGCAACATATACATTGTGCCAGTACACAGTTCAGAGCGAAAGAGACGATCATATGTACTACGGGCTGCAGTGTGGGAGCAGCTAAGTGAGATGCACCAGTCTATCGCTACGTCTCTCATCTTGTCGTCTACATGCATGTGCCACAGTATGGATCCTATATTCCTAGATTCAGTACACACACATCACAACTAAACAGGTGTCAGATGTTCTAATGTACTGCATCAGAGTTCCGTGAAAATATATTTAGATAGAATTTTTATATCCTATGTTATGAATAGCCTCCCTCCAAAATATCTTTATAGACTCTCTAAAACATATACAGCTCTCAACAACAACAAACGGAGGAGGAAGGAAAGAGAGAGAAGAATTGTTTATTATGACTATAAATATTATGGAGGAAGGCTATTCATACGCATGATGACATGTATCATTCGCACTAATAGCTTATTGTGTATCGGACCTTACACATCTAATTGAACATCAATATTTACCAACACCCTATGGTTATTATTTTCAGTGTTAAGAGGTCTTGATCCTTTGTGATACAACGCAAGCGATGGATTCTCATCATACTTGCCTGCGTTCCAGCTGAACGCTAGCAACCGTGTCGGTGCCGCATAGCACTATGTGCGTGTATTCGTGGAGGGGGGCGCGCTTCCTTTGCACATCAATTTCATTCTGAAATGTCAACACCAAATCTAAGGCAAACTCACTCTCTCGATACAACAAACTATTGTGTACGAGCGGTGCGCCGTGCAGTTTACTGCGAGCAAAAAGAGAGAGAATGTGGCATGTTTTGTTCCGAGTCGTTTCTGGTGTCGCACATTGTACTATGAATGAAAATTATGTCGCGCGTGCGAAAACGCCAGGTCTTGAAGGAATTTCTGTATCCCCAGCCGACTGATATAACAGAAATCCTCCATATTTAGTCTCTATTTGTCAGGCACTGGCGACTCGAGCTAGGTTTCCTAGTTCAGGTCAGCTGGACAGCAAGTTCGAATCCATGTTGGTTGTTCCAAAGGTCAGTATCATAATATTTAAATATTGATATGTAAGATACAAATAAACATACATGTAACATGCGTATATATATCATTATATAATATTATATATAATATTTTCAGGAATTGAAGTCAAACCAACTGGGTGTACTGTTGGGACACAAACACATGATGACACAAGTACTGTGGATGCTGGGATTCAGTGCAACCTGCAGCTAAACCTCCCTGAAAGGGACATAATTGATGAGGAAAAAGAGCTTGAGGCCGACAATAGCCAACATGAAGAGGATAATCAAAATGATCATCTTTATAGCCCATCAGACGTGGAATCTGATTCGTCAACTGATGAGTATTGTCTTGTCATGTTTTTTAAATGTTGCTACATTATCATTATGCAGGGTCGGATCCAGCCATTTATTGCAGACTTGATCATTTAACTCTTTGTCCATTTCACAGGGACTAATAAAGGCTAGATATTGACTTGTATTAATAGTTTACTAAGAAAATCATCTACATCTATATCCAGGAATAGGAAGCTTTTGTGAAGAATCAACATCTTAACTGTGATCTGCTTATTTTTGTAAATGAATCCTGTAATTTGACTGAATCCTACATGCATCAACATGATTCAATTATAGGTATGTGAAGTACTTGTTCATATTCATTGAACTGCTGCTCAGGGCACTTAAAGATCTGTGGCCACCACTGATTTATGTGCATAATTTGAACACATTCAGGAGCTGGAGAGTTCCAGAAAACAGATACATATTGTAAGCACAGTTCATGTTTGCACTGCATGATCTGGATATGATTACATTTCCCTTAAAAAGTATTTATTGTGAATTTTCTTTTGATGAATTGCGAAGCTTCTTTGATACTGTTGGAGAAAATGCAGCCTGTACTTCCTCTATACCCGAGGAGCGTATTGGTGAAGTGCTGTATATTCAGATATGTGGTTCAGCACCACAGACAGTCAAATGCCATACTGGAGGTACCACACCTGTGTTTAATCACTCATCAGCTGCCCCCTTCACTGCAGATTTGGGTAATTAAAAAGAGCTTGAAGCAGACCTTTCTCACAGTGGACATTTTGACTCGTCAAACACAGGTGTTACTAATCATATTAATTATAGCTATATTCCATTTGGGTGTTTCAGTGCCAGAGCTCTTGTGTGAGCTGACTCCCTGCATGGATTACTGGCAAACCTAAATTTAACAGAAAATAAAATCAGCGTTAATGTTATTGTTGACATCTGTGCTTTTCTTGGATGTGCGAGTCAACATGAAAAAAGCTAACCCTTTCCAACATTGTTATTACCTGTGTTACCTTTAGGATACCAGTCACATCATCATTTGATCATTTGAATAACTTCCAATGCATCAGACTTCAAACTGAATATTTTATTTTACCTTTATTTAACCAGGATAGTTCTCATTGAGATAAAAAATCTCTTTTCCAAGAGAGTCCTGACCCAATAATGGTAACAGCACAGTTTCAGACAGTTTTACAGTTACAAACAATTAAAAAAACACAATCACAACACAGTCATACACCAAGTTTAGCCAAAGCATTTACAGACACAGCGGCCTGCTTCAAGGTCAGTTAAAGTTGCTTTGAGTGTTTCTAATGAGACCAGCTCTCTGAGTTTCAGCTCAGTTTGAAGCAGGTTTCAAGCTTGAGGGGCAGCGTAACTGAATGCCCTTTTCCCAAGTTCAGTACGGACCTTTGGTACAGTTAAAAGAAAAAAGTTCTCGGAGCGAAGCCGATAGGATCCTGTGCATTTTCTATTTATGTACATTCTTAGATAAGGGGGAAGAGCACCAAGAATAGCTTTATATATAAGGATGTGCCAATGTTTCAGTCTACGCGTGGTCAGGGAAGACCAAGAAGATGGAAGGGCCCGAAAAAGAAACCAAACATGGATACTATACGTCGGCTAATTTATTCATTCAGGCAATTCAAGGCTAATTTAACCGTTATAATATGCCTATGCACATGAATGTAAATCACATTTGTTATCATTAGCCAAGAAGGTTATCCCTTTTGGTCTACTTCCAAGAATTGGAGCTAATGTGTATGTTTTGCTTTAATTTGTGTGTGCTTGTTGATGCCATTATCAGTCTATATTGGGTGCAAAACAACACAACTCACTGAACAGAAGGCAGTAAGGGTGTCAAACAGCTGGAATTCCCGATAATGAGCAAAACAGAGGCACAAAAATCCTGGCGACCACCATCTCCAGCTATTTGAACATGTGAATCTTTCCCAATACTGCCTTCCACCCCACATCATTTCAATCCTCATGTGAGGGATGCCACCAAAGTGCCTGAGTGGGTTTTAATTATGCCTTCAAACAACCTTCTACAACCTTTATCTTTTCATTTTATGTTTAAATCAAGCACACGTTTGGAGCATTTCTCCAGTGTGTGCTGGGCAACTGAGTGTGCATTCACTCTCATATTGCAATCTTATCTGCATTGTAATACACGCAAACTTATTTTTGGACCAGGCTCTACACATAACACACGTGGGCTATATTTCTCTTGGGACAGCTAACAATAGAGCAGTGAACTATGCCTAAGGCGAATTAAACCACTCCATTAATTCACAACCCCAAAGTGATTCAATTCTGTTTTCATGCAACAGTGGTGAGACATGAATCTTCCAGGGCTATTCACATGAAAACATGTCTCACAACAACAAATGGGAACATTTCCCAAAGATATTGAAGTTACTGTTATTTTGTATGTATTGATTGTTGTGCTTTTATTTAGGTCTTAATGTGTGCACATACATACATGTGTCTGTTGATTGTGTATTTCTTGTATTCGGGATTGTGGGAAACGGTATTTCGATGTCTCTCTGTCTGTACACACAAACTGAAAGATTGTCAATAAAGTTGACTTTGACTTTGATTTGAGGAAACATCTCTTAAATGTCCATACAACATGATACAAGAGAGACACAATGTTAGTTTAAGAAATAGCAGGAATTTTGTATAAGGTGTATTTGTGAAATATCAGTGTTTGAAAAATGATGACTGGTAAGCTACAGCTAGAAATGTATGTATTTGTGCATCAACTCGGGCCTCTCCAGCTGCCATTTTCCCCCCAAAATGGGATTTTCAGGACCACTCTGAGGTCCAATTACTGGAGAAAATCCCCTCTGCCAGACAGAGATGGAGAGCTGTGCTGGTGATCCTCGTTGCGTAGCTAGTGTGCATCGGTCATTAGCTTCCCACAGAGTGCAGCAGCACGCATGGTCTCCCAAGCAGCCAGAAGTCTCCACAGCCTCCACACCCCCCCAACTAAGCACCTCTCCACACACCGCGCAAACTCCCCTAAGAACTCATGTATTAAATCCAGCATACTAAATAGCCTCTTATGGAAAACAAACGTGAGGCTTTATAGTTCTCCCGCTATGCCTTTAGCATAACCTGGCAACAAAATCGACAGCATGTTAACAGGAGTTCTGCTGTTTGTTATTACCTGAGGTATTACCCTGCTGTCGTAACAGTAATGAATACAATTTAGCACCGCTTAAGATCTGTTCGAATCCACTTTCGGCGTCTGCAGTTTGATGGGAGTTTGAATAGATTTTCCCCTGCCGGTCGGCTCCCTGGTGCTATCTGACATTTCTGGCAGAAGATTGCATCAGCATATTCAACAAAACCAACGAATGTGGGAAATAAGGCTCAAATAACTTTTGAATTAACTTTCTTGCAAAGTGAAGGTGCGTGTTGTGTAAGATTTGCTTTGTCTTAAGTGAGGTGAAAGGTAATGATCCCCTTTGTGTGGCCTTACGTTGCTTTTTCTTTAAGATGTGGAAGGGCATGTTAGATGGAGGAGCAGTGGGATTTTTGCTCTTCACTGTGACATCTTGCAGTTTGATTCATTTCTCTCCCTGGCTGAGGCTTGCCAGGGGAACTGATTAATATTCATCTGCATTTGATATTCATGGAGAGAATCAACACTGCGTTTGTCTGAAATCCAAGAGGGAACACTGAACATAGGAAACAAGTCAGCAAAATTAGGGTAACACAATGTGAGCAATACACACTCTTCATAAAAAATCTTTAGTTTATAGTATATTCAAATGATGTATCATACATGGCCTGCCTGTGGCAAACGATTCAGAAAAACTATTTTAATTCACTTTGGCAGAAAAAGTTGTACCTGTGACACACATTCACATCGTGCACACTTTTTTGAAATGTTCAGATCCCACTCAAAACCCCACCTTCCAGTTATTGTTGCTATATGTCAACATATTTCTGATACTTAATTTGAGAAACATATGAGGGTAAAGGCACTTTTTTTGTTTAGCCTTAATTGCTTATTTGAAAAAGCTATTTTGCCCATTTAGATGCCAGAACTGAATACCCATTCCTCAGCAGTGAGTGTCTCAACTCGAGCGGTCATGCATTAAGGTTGAGGTTAGTGTGATGAAAATAAAACTAACAATTTGCTCAAGAGGAAATGCGTCTTCAAAGAAAGCTGAGTCAAATCTTTTGACCTAAGAATAATGCGTATTAAACTTGTTTTTGAAATAGTGATATAACTTTGGTTGGCTACAAAGACATGGAGTACTGTCAGTATTCAGGGAAAGCTCAACAAAAGAGAAATCCTTGAGCCTGCTTCTTGAATATTGGGTTATGAAGCATTCAAAAAGACAGATCAATGTTTCCTGTGCATGTCACATCTTCGGTGGATCTTACTTTAATCGTTCTATAAAGCAAGGGTTGTCTGTCGGTGTGCTTTTATAAATGTCCTTTTCATATAATCGAGAAACCTTGATACGATCTACTTCACACTTGGTGGGTGTATTGCTTAAGACCCAAGAATTTGCAAATGTCAAATTTTGAGCAATTAGAACAAATGTATTCATTTCTTTTTTCTCACTTAGATTTTATTGAGTTTTTTCAGACAAACAACACAAACAAGCACAGTACATAACAACAAATAGTTGCCAGACAGCGAGTATTCTACAGTTTGGAGGAAGTACATTTCTGTATGATGGACATGGACAGTGGTTTATCAATGCATGGTGTAATATTGTTTACAATTAAACAAGGTTCAGACATTCAGCATTTCCAACCGTAGGTGAGCAAGGAATATCTAAAATCACACTTAGATATATTTCAACCATTTAGACCATTGAACTGTGTACAGGTCATATTTAAGTCTTAAGAAATTGCCAATCTCTCCATGTCATGAAAGTGTTTAATGATCTCAATCCAAAGATCTATTGAAGGAGATTCGGCCTGTAACCACTTACGAGTAATAGCTTTTTTTGCCGCTACAGTCAATATTTTCAAAAGGTATTTATTACTCCCCGTCATTTCTTCT